ACTGCTATAGATATTTTGCTGGACTTACATATCACGTGAAGCAGGAAATCATGGCTTCTAGGCTAGGAAAAGCTGGCCAATTTATTGCAGGCCCCAAAATGCCCTTCTGAATTAGTCCAAAGGCTACTTCCATCTCCTCTTTCTCATCTGGCCAGTCATAAGCAGTTGGGAAGCTGTTGTGAGCCCCTGAAGTACCAGAGAAATCATCCCCACTCGGGGAGTCCCGATGAGATGTTCAGCTTTTGTTTCTCAAAAAAAGCATCTCCCCTGTAATTATGTTTATTACAATGGCAGAACCAGTGAAAACGGACGGTAGCTTTATCATTCCCCGAGAATCATTGGGAAGGTGAGGCTAGATCAGTGTTTCTCAACCTCAGCAATTTTAAGACATGTGGACTTCAACTCCCAGAATTCCCCAGCCATACTGCCTGTGTGCTTGTTTGCCTCTGGACCTCTTTTGCTTTTTCTTTCCTCCTATGATATTCTAACCTGCTTCCAATTTCTGGAATCCTTTGGGGGATAGATTTATAGTTATTTCCCAGGGCCAAGGTAAATCAGGATCTATCACTATAGATCAGTGTTTCTCAACCGTGGCATTTTGGCTGGGGAATTCTGGGAGTTGAAGTCCACATGTCTTAAAGTTGCTGAGGTTGAGAAACACTGGGCTAGATTCACTGGCTAGACCCAGAATATCAGTGGTGGAACATTTTCCTTGATTGGGCAAAACAAGATTCAGTCCCCACTCCCAGCCCAAAAGAGGGTGACTTCCAATTGTTCTGGATGTTCTATAAAACTGAAGAGAAAGAGAAGGAGGAGGAAGGGAGAATTGCTGTCTCCAGCTATCCTCTGGAGTGGGCCCTGGCCCTGAACTGAAACTCAACATATTCAAAGAGGTAGTAAATAACTAATTTTGCTAGACTGAATTGATTTCATTTAGAAGTCTATATTTTTTTATTGTTGCCTTCCTTTTGTTCTTATACTTCTGTTTTCCCAATAATCAAGAGAAATTTGGCTTCACTGGTCTAATCAGGGAATTTCTCATTATAACCTCTCCCATGTGCAAAACTGCACAGTTCTACAGCTAGAGCTATACCTTCTGATTCAGAATTGGTACAAGATTTCTTATGTTCTGTATTTTGGGCTTTGATCAGGAAGATCACATTTGATTGTTTATTGATTGCTTGTGGTTGATATTTCTTTTTCATTCATTATGTTGTTTTGTTGTTTTCTGGTTTTAATTTCCAATTCACCACCCAGAGTCACAGTAGCAAGATGGGCAATTTATTTAACAGTAGTTTAAATAAATAAATTTTAAATACATTCCAATAAATATGGGGATATTGGACAGCAAGATACAGTTTAAAAACCAGTAGGAGAAAGAGAGTGAAGAATGCTGTTGAATTGTTGTGTTCAGTTGCAAAATACAAAGTAACTGGCCAAGAGAGACTTACTGCATGGAAATTCTCTAAATTCTGATCTATTTTTCCTGCTAATGTGCGGGCTCCTAAACCTTTCTCTCTGCTGCTATTTGTTTTTCAATATAGAATATTTTTCTTATCCATCAACCTAAAAATCAAAGCATCCTCCAGCAATTGAAATTTATCTCAATGTGTACAATGTGTATAAGGTTGGCATGTTTCACATGAACATATGCTAAAGTTTGGTTATCAGTAAAAGTTACACTAAGGTATAAACAATGTAAAATCTTGCTTTAGCAGTCTGTTGCCTAGACAGTTTTCTTGAGCTGAGCTATCTGTGGGCCAGTCCAATAAAGGCCAAAGAATACGGTACAGCAACCAAAGAGATAAACATTGTGGGTAAAATGATGTAGCTCAAAAACTGTCGATGCCACCCCTCTGTGACATTTAATCCAATCAGATTGCATTTGTCTTGCCAAATGGAATTATCATGCATCTAACATTCTAGAATGTTTGTGCATATTGGAAAATATTGTGCATAGGCCCATATTTTCAAATAAAATCTCTCAGTAAGGGCCATGATGTTCAAACTTATGCTTTCTGGATTTTCTATCCCAAAGTGCCACCTAACTTTTTATATCTGGCAGAATGGAAATATGTGGTCACTAGGCATATCAGAAATATCACCTGATTTTAAGAATAATCTTAGGAAATAAAAATAAGAAAAATGTTCTCTTCTAGTGATTTCCATTATAGAACACAACTTCAGGATTTGTGCTTGGATCTTCTGATTCCCCCCCCCCTTTTTTTTTCCTTTTCTTACCCAGATCCTCAATGCAGTGGTTCTGCTGATTATATTGAGCGCCTTGACAGAGCCTGGCCAGTACCATTTAGCAGGTTCTGAGTTAAGCAATGACTTTGAATTTATGGATGATGCCAGTAAGTATATATCATTTCATTAGTAATTTACAATCTGGCTCCTGTTAAACTGACCTGATATTGTGCCAGGACAGCACTTTCAGGGCTGGCATAAAATTGCTTATGTGTATGTTTGGGGGCTGAACCTTCTCTGAAAATTCTTGTGACAATATTAAAGATGAGATTTACAAAGAGGACTTTAACTGAAGGTAATTTATTAAAACAGGCTGCCTTGTCGTCTGAGATTTACCTTGGATAAGGTCTGGGCTTCAAAAAAACCAGAAGTCCAGTAGATGGCAGCAAAGAAATAGAGGAAAATCAAACACTTGGCTGACATCTAGTGGTGTTCTGGAGTTTTGCAGCCCCAACCTTGACAATTAAGATAGGTGTGGGTTTCACATACAGAATTACATCAAAGGATTGTATTAAATAGACACCTGGAGTGGTAATAGAATGGCCTGGTCTGAAGCTATTGTTTAATTACAGTTTAGCATTGCACACCCATGCCTCAGGCTCTGTGTTCACGCTCCTGCTTCTCTTCCAAGGTAGTGATGGAGGATCAGAAATGTTGGTTTCCATTTTCAATGACCAGGAGTTGTGTCTACAGGTGTTTTATTTTAGCATTTTCCTGGGTATGTCAGGGCTCAGAGGGGGAGAGCGGCCCCTTTTATCTTTGTAGTAGCCTAACCCCACTCCTGATGCCCCCGACCTCCTCCTCATGGAGCGGAGAGCTAAGAAAGGGAGTTACAGGCATCACGGAAGAAGTCTTAGCGGATTTGCATACAGCTAAACAAACAGGAAAAGGATGGTAATAGGAAGCATTCAATCCCCCAGACCCAACTAAACCTAATGCCATGGGAGGGGGAGGGGGCTGGGAGACAGACTTTAAAGAAAAGAAAAATGGCTTCCAATTTGGCAGGTTCATAATTTTCAGCCATTTGGTTTGTGGGGTATTAACATAAAGGATAAAATTTCAGCAAAATTTTAAGGAACCCATTCATTTTGTTCAAACCCATGAATAATATGGAATATTGACCTATTTAGTAAGAGCAAGGGTGAAAATTGTGCCTGAAGCCTTTGATTACATCATATTTTTCATCGTTAATATCCCTTTCAAGTTCTCTAATAAGAGGCAAAAGAAATTGGCTTCACTATCTTCAGGGGGCACAGAAAGTGTGTTAGACAACTGCATGCAGACCATGAGTTGACCACCATGGGATAAAATGGTTCATTTTAAATGTTGGTTGTTAAATAAGCCACAGTGGCTGTCTTCACACACCATGCTAGGCCCAGGCCAAACAAACCATTGCAATGTGTGAACTCAGGCAGTGATAAACTCTGGCATTGTCTGTACTTTCAGCTAAACATTTTACCTGCAGTCCTTATCACAGAGAACCCAGGCTTCTGTTGTTCCCATGATGCATTTTTCCAACTGCTGCTTCTGTCTTTTTCTCCCTGACTTAGGGCTTTTCACACAAGAAAGGATTTCTATTAACCCAAACACTGCCATGGTGGTCCAGGCCATTCACAAAACACTTATTTAGCAGCGGGACCTTTGAGGGACCCAAGATATTAAAGCAATTAATGAGGCCAGAGGTGTGTACTTGGGTCCGTAGCGTGCAGCAACACTTAGGGTTACAGTGGCTGTCACCATTTGGGGTCATCATTCATTTGATTAGCTAGGTACTCAACATAGTCACCTAGGGATTTCCTAGGGAATGCAGGTTTGCTGGATTTATAGTATAAGTTGGTTTTAAAACAACTAGGAATAACTTACAGCTAGCCAGAACTCATGAGCCACCCAGAGTCACCCGTTGGGGGGAGATGAGCAGCATACAAATTGAATGAATGAATGAATGAATGAATGAATGAATGAATGTAAGATTGGATAGGAAAAGAGAAAGAAGTGATCACGATGAATCAGTTCAGAATTAAATTGTCAGCACAGTCCTGCAGATATTTTACTCAGAAGTTCAATAGCTTTTTATTAAGTATCTTAAGAATAGAGACACTATGTCACAACCTGGATATGTTTATAGCATTCTAACCTGCAATGTATGCCTCGTTTGATTGCATTCACATATTACATTAAACCATAACATGGCTTGTTTGGTTTTGGCTTGGCTTGCTGAATGAATCCAAGCAATTGTGATTTAGTCAGTACATCATGTTAAGCAAACTATAGCTTAATATAATATGTGAACTCAGTCTATGTTTTTGTAATTTAAGAACATAAAGTAAAACTCCTGCAGGCTCAGGAATTGAATCAATGGTCCATCCTGTCCAGTATTTGAAACAAGCATATTTAAATGAGCAAAAGATGGAGGAGGAGGAGGAGGAGGTGGAGGGTGAGCAGCAGGGTAACTCATTTGTCTGGAGCTTCAGTATATTACACAGTGCAGAAGGTGGTCTGATAGTATTGAAGCATTAATGTGGGCAGGGATATTAGCTGGGTGAGGCCAAGAATATAGAGTTAAGCAGGTAGGGTTTATCTCAGGCGTGGTTTTCTCAGGCCAAAGAGCTGTGTGGTCCAAAATTAGTACCTTCTGCAAACATTAGTCTGAAATCAGCTGGACACATCACTGCAAGCCAAGTCCTCCAGCAGAGGATGCTCCTGCATCAGAAAAATGCTTTCTGGACCAAAGGAGAAGAAACTAGGCCAGAAACACCTACTAATAATACCAAGGAAAATCCAGTTTTGTCTCAGGCCAGTTTGTGCTTTCATAAACAAGGAGAGGCTTGTTTAAGAGAGAGAAAAAAGTAATCTTGATTCCTGTGGCCTCTGATACCACTGTGTATTGTTAAAAACATGGAATGCTATTAAGAGAACAGTTTCACTTGAAGTTCTGAATATTTTCCTTGGGGACCAATAATAGTGAACACACTTTATTTAGCAAAACAAAGATGCCAGCTTTTCACAGAGCTGTGACTGATTCATTATTTATTTCAGATATGTGCATTGCAACTGCAGTCTCTCTTCTCATGATTCTCATTTGTGCAATGGCCACCTATGGTGCATATAAGGTGAGGCATAATGTATGGCATTGTATTCTGTCTTAACTATCTTACTTTAAGAAACTGGTCCAAAAGCATCTAGTGGCTCATGGCATATAATGTTGCCATGGAGGCGGTGCTAGAAAAACACATCTGTTTATTTGCAATATTTGCAGACTGCCCCACTCCTGATACTTTGGGCAGCATACCACAAAACAGAAAAAAACACAAAGAAAGCTAGACATTCATAAAGGTGCTATATCCACAATCAGTCAGTTAGGGCCAAAAGCAGATAGAATAAGGATGTACTTTGCAGAATATAAGGAGGAAGGGCACTACATAGGCCTCTAGGAGAAGCATCTTCCAGAGCATGGCCCTGCATCTGAGAAGGCCCAACATCTGATTCAAGTCCCATGTACTTCCCAATAGAGGGGGAATTTTCAAAAGGTGCTATGTAACCTTTGCTACACCATGTATGACTTTGTAGGCAATCAACATCAGAATTATTCCTCAATGGCAGGATTGATCCACCAGCAGTCTGACTGCTGCATTCTGGACCAACTGCAGTTTCTGAATCATCTCCAAAGGCTATCCCATATAGAGTGCACTGCAGTAGTCCAACTTCATGGCAATCAAGTTATGAAAACCATTCCCAAGGCATTGTGATCCAAGTAGAGTTGCAACTGATGCACCGGCTTAATTGGGCCAAAGATCCTCTGCCCGCTGCCTCTGGTTAGTTAGTTACCTATCTAAACTAACTGCTAGGCTGATGTTATTGGATTGCCATGATGTTTATTGACAAAAAGCAATTCAGGCTTGGTAGGAATTAATCTCAGTTTGTCTTACCCTATCCAAACCCTGGTATCTCCAGAGACCAGTTCAGGATTTACATGTCATGTCTAACTTAGCTTGGGGTGTCAGTATACAATTGGTTGGTATACAGACAACACCCTATTCTGTGCCAATGGATGATCTCTCTCAGCAGCTTCATATAGAGGTTGAATAACATAGGGGATAACACAAACTCTGTGGCCCCACACTGAAACAACTAAGGACTTAAGCATTGCTGCCCCATGATTAGTGGCTGGAACTGCCCACTTGGGTAGGAGCATAACTACAGGTAGTCCTCGACTTATGACCATTCACTTAACGACCGTTTGAAGTTACAACAGTGTTGAAAAAGTGACTTATGACTTTTCCTCACACTTACAACTGTTGCAGCATCCATCCTTGCAGTCATGTGATCAAAATTTGGGTGCTTGGCAACTGGCATGTATTTATGACCGTTGCAGCATCCCAGGGTCATGTGATCACCATTTGCAACAGAGGCTTCCGACAAACAAAATCAATGGGGGAAGCCAGATTTGCTTAATGATTGCATGATACACATAATGACTGTGGCAAAAAAAGTCATAAAATCTAGCTTGACTTACCACATCACTTAACAACAGAAGTTCCAGTCCTAATTGTGGTCGTAAGTCAAGGACAGTGTCCACAACTTCCAAACTTTGAAAACAGTTCAGCAAGATTCCATGGTTGATGGTATCCTATACTGCTGAGAAATCCGTCAGGAATAATATAGATACACTCCCATCATCTAAGTCTCAATGAAGGTAATTTACCAGAGCAACCAATGCTGTTTCTACCCTATGACTGGGCCTAGATCCAGTCTGGCAGGAATCCAGATAATCCACTTTTTCTAGGGTTCTGTGTAGCTGGATTCCTACCTCCTTCTTAACAACCTTCCTCAGAAAGGGGAGATTGGAAACCGGGCAAAAGTTGTCAAAAACAGCTATATCCTTCCTTCAAGGCAGGTGGCATTATTTCCCAATATCAGCCACTCAGCCAGGACAGATATAGATCTAGACCACAGATGGCAGAATTCATATCACAGAAAACCCTACCCACTTGTCAGCCCTTCAAGATAGGCCAGACTAGGGAACCAAAGTTATGAATGATGATGCTACTTTTATTATAAGGTTACAGTAACAATCTTGCAAGTCTGAATGCACCTCCCTGTCCCTCCCTTTATCTACAAGAGAACTAGGGAGGGTCAAGCCTGAGACGTTTTCCCAAATTAGATTTCTGCCTCAAACTCAAATTTCTTTTGTCCAACCATTGTCTTGGTTGTGGCTCTTCCTCCTGATCCTCATTGTTATTCTTACAGCCCATTACACCACTTCCTTAAGCTCTACAAGCTCAGAAGAATCCCAGATGATACCACAAGACCCCACCACAATCATCCCAGTGGACTCTGCCCAAGTGGCATCCAACCCAAGAGCAGATACCAGTGACTTTAACTGCCAAGCAAGCCACAAATCAGTCTGGGGTGACTGCAGGTGCTTTGTCCCACTCATCTTTCCAGAAAAGGATCTGGGTAACTCTGAACAGATCCACCAGGTAGAATTCTGGAGACATAATTAGTGTAGAGAAGGCTATTACAGGTAGTCCTCGCTTACCAACCATTCGTCCAGCGACCATTCAAAGTTGTAACGGTGCTGAACAAGTGGTACTTATGACTGGTTCTCAAAGTTCCAGCCGTTACACCTTCCCCACAGTCACATGATCACGATGTGGACACTTGGCAACCAGCTTGCACTTACGACAGTTACAGCGCCCCGCAATCACATGATCACCATTTATGCCACAAGCAAAGTCAATGGGGAAGCCAGCAGGGACAGTCACAGATCACTCTGGTAAGTTCCCTTGGCCTCCCTGTGCTCATGTGGCGCCTCACCACCCATTCCCTGGCCTCCCTGTGTTCATGCAGCACCGTGCCATACATTCCCCCAGCCTCCCTGCACTCGCACAGCACGCACCATTCACTCCCCCACCTCCTGCACTCACAGAACACCACAACACCCCCTCCCCTGGCCTCTCACAACTCATGCACGGCCTGCACCAGGCCTCCCCCACACCCTGCAGCACCCCTGCATTCCTTACTTGGGACTCCCACCTCTTCCTGCTAAAGGACCCACGCATCTTGGGATTAGGAAGGCAACTGAGTCTCCCAGGATTGTCATCACTAAGCAACAGCAATTGCGATGGCAATCCTGGTCCCAATTGCCCTTGTAACCCAAGGACTACCTGTACACACATTCATCTACTATTATAGTATATACATGCACGCACATTCTTATTTGTTTAAGTAACCAACAGCATGTGGATATTACTGATTCCCCCTCTTCTGTGATAGGGCATACAAGTGCTATATCAGAACTAGATAAAATATTTTCGATTAATATTCTCTGAGAGTTTGGCCAAAGGGCAGGAATTCTGGGAACTGTGGTTGGAAACATCTGGAAGCACCAAGTTATTCATCTTAAGTGCTAAAATAAGAAAATGTCTAAAGAAGTTAGCTCAGATTAATTATAGGGGAAGGTAGATTCCCCAACCTAGCAGGCTCCAGTTATATTGGATTATAACTCTATGTGGCCATGATAGCTGGGAATTCTGGGAATTATAATCCAATATAAAGAGCACCTGGTTGGGAAAGAATTCCTTTTCTGAAAAACTTTTCAGGAAAACTTGATTTTAAGGGTAACCATTTCTATGTTAAGTAGTGAATATATATATATAAGTTATTCATAAGGTTCACCTATATTACTACAATAGTTTTCTTAACTGTGCCATTATGAATAGTAATATTTACAATCATAATTATATTCTGTAAAGAATATTAATAAAGAGGTGTTCGTTTAATGTATTTGTTCTGAAGTGAAAGAATATATGAGGTAGATCAAGATTAAATTATATTTTATAAGACTAACCTAAACCTAATTAAATATATATGTTGGTTTGGATGAAACTTGCTGGTCCTTGAATTAAAAGCCTTCTTTTGATTTCTGCCCATTGATTTGCTTAGAAAATCTCCATTATTTTATAATGTAGTTCTTTTTATGTTATGGACCCCTTTGACATGTTCAGAAAAATGATTAAAAATTGCATTAAGATTCTATAACTAACTATTCCCTTCTTTTTATTTTTTATGTTCAGCAACATGCAGCCTGGATCATCCCTTTCTTCTGTTACCAAATCTTTGATTTTGCACTCAACACTTTAGTTGCTATCAGCATACTTGTTTATCCAAACACGGTTCGGGATTATCTGCAGCAACTGGTAAAAGACTTTCTTATTCAATATTCAGATTGTTTATGTAAATAATTGTTGTACACTTCACTCTCAGACTATGAGAATAAGGTTTACCTGCCCACACATCCAGGCCAAACATTAAAATTATAAGAATATTAGTAGCCCCGTACATTCCTGTTCTCTGTCAGATGTCTATAGGACCTATAGTGCCCTAAAATTTCTTATAGAGAGCAAAGGTAGGGTTTGCCTCCTTCCTATAATTTGACAGCAACCAATCTTTTTCTGGTTGGAACTGGCACTTTTGGGTTTTTTGGGGGGAGGGGCTTTGAGGATGACAGCAAATGCAGATCAGAATTAGAAGTGACAAGAGAATCAAAAACACTGACAGCTGTGTCTCTAATCCCTAGTTTTGCTGTTATAGTATTGCCAATTTGTTTAGCATATGTGAATGTATTTGAATCAGAATGTCAAGGATGCTAAATCAGCTTCCACTGCTCCAGAAAATAATAGGAGGAACATTATACCAAGAGAAAGTATGCAGTGTCAAAGTGCTGTTTAATCCTCTATGAAGAAATAATTCTGTGCCCCCTTCTTCCCCTCCTATATTTAAGCCCCATCTTTTCCCCAGAGTGGGAAATGTCCTAAATTATATCCTGTAGAGGGGAAAAAAGCAAGAAATTTAAACAGTATTAATGTAGGGTTGTGGGGGAGGGAGAATTCTCAGAAATGGGATGTTGGACCGGAAAATGTATTAAATATTCCACTCAGAGGAACATGGAATTTATTGGAAATAGTTTAATACCGGAATGCTTTCACCTTTAAAGAGCTCTTTGCTCCAAGATTTTTTCCTTAGGGCAAGTTGTTTTCTTTTGTTTTTGTTCTTTAAAAAAGGGGAATAGCTCTAACTCCGTAGCAGCCTGGAAATGTTTAGTGATTTGCTGATCTTGGATTCCGGTCCTTCCCTTCTGTCAGAAGCCTAGAAAGACTTCATATGTTAAAAATTTGTTCACTTCCTTAACACTAAGTAATTAAAATCAATGCTCAAAGCCCTTTTATTAACAGGAGTTTGGTTCTTCCAAGTCAAAGCCCCACATATGTTAAGTTTCTCTCTTTCCTTTGCTTTCACTACTTTCATTCACTGCAGTCTTTTTCAAACTCGGCAACTTTAAGATGTGTGGACTCCCCATGCTGGCTGGGCAATTCTGGGAGTTGAAGTCCACACGTCTTAAAGCTGCCGAGTTTGAGAAACACTTTGTAAGTTCTGGAGGCCAACTCTAGGATGTCCGTGTGCTGAAGAAAATGTCTTCTACCACATTCATGCCTCTGTTAGAGACCCTCTGGGGAAGATTTTGGTGGTGACTGAAGGGCTATGAGTGGGAGGAGACAATAGTCTGTTCATGTAATATTAGATGGCAATTGCTAGAGTTGCTCTGAAACACCTCCACCAAATCCTCTACCCATAGCTCCGTTGTCTCAGCATTTAGCGACGTCTTCTCCTTTCTGTTAACTCGCTGTACTGTCAAAGTACACTTTTTAACAATATCTTTTCTCATCAGCTTTATTAGAATTACTTGTACCTGCCAAAATGATGAGAGACTTTTAATGCTCTTGAATAGGACTCAGAATGAGATTTCTACATTTTTTGAGGATAGACAGACAGATAGGTAGATAGAACATGTGTACATACATACATGTCCTAGATAATAATTCAAGATTGTACAAGATTGTGCAATGGTATCTGAGGCCTCAAAAGATCGCTAGTCTCTGTTCTAAGACAACAATCTCTGTATTGCTAATTAAATAGGACTTTTTGCAATGCATTTATCTTTTCCTTTGAGTTATAAATCAAATCCTTTTCCTATAAACTGTTCCTTACATAGCAGTAGACAGTCAAAATCAGAAAAGGGAGGCACAGTTTGCATGTAGTGATTATCTAATTATGAAGTACAGAAAAGCTCAAAATTTACAACTTGCTATATGTGGGAAATTTTATGCAATGATATGTCAGCCAAAAGCACTAGCAGAAAATTATCTCAACAGAAATAGTTCCATGAGCCTCTGTGCAGTTTGCTCTTTTCAAAATCTGGTTGCTGTATTTCAATAGAAGAGAATATCTGTAGCTCAGGGTTGAACTGTGGAGCCCTTGGTGCTCTCTGAGCTTTGGTTGTTTGCTTGCAGATGTTTCATTACCCAACTAGGTAATATCATCAGTGCTAGTGAGTGTGGGGTTTGTCGTATTTTAGTTAAGTCTAGTTCACAGGCCTTCTCCCT